CCCCAAAACCCCAAAACCCCAAAACCCCAAAACCCCAAAATCTCAAAACTTTTCACAAAATAATATAATAATAACCCAAATGGACTTAGAGAAAGAAAGGGATCAGCTAGAGAAAGCCAGCAAGGACATTTATATTCGCCAGAAAGAACTTGACACACAACTTGCTGAGTTTGAAGGCCAGAAGGAAAGCCTTAATAGTATGAAATAAGGATCTTGCTGCCAAGCAGAAGGAGTTGGCTCAGTTGAATGCGGAGTATAAGGCAAAGAATAAAATGTTGAAGGACGTTGAAGGGAAAATCAGTGACCTTGATGGGCCTATGGAGATGGCTAACTCTATTGAGCAACTACAAAAACTAAACAAAGAACTAGAGAGTCAACTAAAGAACAAGGGAGCTAGTCAGGTTGAACTTCAACAAGGTATGTCTCCGTCTAACCCCTATAGCCAAGGACGACCTGCAAGATCTCCAAGTCGCTCATCGAAGGGAAATCCAACAACTAAAAGAGCAAAACCAGGAAACTGAAGAGAGGCTAAAAGAAAAATGCTCTAAAGTTATTCATGAAAGGGATACCTTCAAGAAAGTATTCATAATGTATAAATCTCATAGCTTCTTGGCAATAACACGGTTGAGCTGGAGAACCTCAAGACCGTCCTCACAGCCACACAGCAGAAATTAGAAGAGGCTAGTGAAGAATGGGAGGAAAAGGTCCGTATCGAGAAAGCCAGAGCAAAAGATGCAATAAAATAAGCAATCCCAGATTGAAATCCAGCTAGGTCAACTCTCTGATAAATTGAGTGAAGAGATTGACCTTCGCAAAATAGCTGAGAAAGAAGTTGGTGGTAATATTCCGATGTAAATTATAGATCTCCAGGAAGCCATGAAGAAGAAGGATAAGAAGTTTGCTGCATCTAAAGCTTCATACGAGTCTGAAATTGAAGACCTACGTGAACAGTTACGCGAGAGCAACAAGTTTGAGCGTGTCCTTGAACGTGAAAAATTAACACACAATGAAATTTTGTCAGATAGAGATAGCAAAATAGGCAAGCTTGAGGACAGAATTCGTACCCTCAAATCAAAACTAGCCGAGTCAGAATCCTTAAGGAAAGAATTAGAGGAAAAATTGTCCCAAAAGACAACTGACCACACCACTGAACTTAAAGATTTACAGGTGAAACTTTACTCTCAAACTGAAGAATTCAAGCAGAAAAATAAATTGCTTCAAGAATCTAAGAGTAAATTCAAACAAGAAGCTCAAAGAATTCAGAAAGAGAAAGACATTCAAGAGCAAGTCTTTAAGGAATCTGAAAAGAATTATAAGGAAAACTTAAAGGATCTGAGAGAAAAGAAACAAAAAGCTGAGACTGATTTAATGCTTAAGAATGATCAAATGGTTGCACAGAAGCAAAAGCATATTGAAAAGACTAATAGATTGAATAATAAAATAACTAATCTTGAACAGAAGCAAGAGATATTAGAGCAAGATCTTGCTCATTCAAAATCTGATTTGAAAAGACAGGGTAATGCTCTGAAAATTACACTCCTATATCTCAAAATTACATTCTAATCACAAAATGTTACATTATTTCTACCATATTTTGTCTCTTAACACACTTTTTCTTACTTTCTCAAGTCTTACTCTAAATTTTTATTTAGCTCGTAAACACCAGACAGAAATTGACGACCTGACCGAATCCCTCAAATCTGCTGCCAAAAAGCTTACTAAAGCGTCAAATTTGGCTTCAAAATATAAATCTGCACGTGACGAAGCTGAACTCCAAATAATGAAACTTGAGACCGAACTAAAGGCCACAAAGACTCTCCTCACCGAGCGCAATAGAGAATGCAAAGAGGTCTCTGCTGCAAATGAAACTCTTGAATCAAAGAACGCTAGATTACGCAAAGAGATAATCACTGCTGTGAAGGAACGTAACGATGCTGATACCCTTGCTCGGGATAAGAAATTCAGCTCTAATATAAAAGCGCAGAAGATAAAGGTACTCAAGAAGCAAATCCGTAAGAAAAAGAGGAACAAGCTGGTGGCCTCACAAGCCAAACTTGATAAAGATACAGATTATTTGGACAAGGAGTATGCCCTCTCTGGAATGAATAATGACATACAGTCCAATATGGGGCTCAGTAATGTCAAGAGCCACAGAGTTCTACCTCAAGGTCTGTCTAAGTTATCCGCTTACAAAGGCGAAGAATCTGATAGTGGCGTCAGTGACATCAATGAAGATGACTATTATGATAGCCAGTTTGAAAGAGATAATAAGGATGTACATCTTCCGAAGATACTTGGTAGAACACCTAACATGCCAACTTCTCCTAGCCTTGCTGGTAGCAGAAGATCCTCAGCTAAGGGTAAAGGCAATGTGTACAAGAGCTGGATGCCAGAGGATGATGAACTCAAAATGATTGAATAAATTCTGTTAAATCAATTAGTTCCATTTCAGTATTTCTTTCTACCTAGGGGTTTTGGGGTTTTGGGGTTTTGGGGTTTTGGGG